ACACACACACACACACACACACACACACACACACACACACACACACAGACAATTCAGTTTTTACAGAACACTGTAGGCAGAAAATGCCCATGGTTTGAATCATGCTGAGGAGGCAGGAATTAATTCCAATCAGGCTTGAACGAGCGAAGAGTCATTCCATTTTGCAGTACTCCTGTAGTCACTCAAAATAAGAAGTACCCCCCACACCTCTCCTACATATGCATGAGCTCACACACATCCACGTGTGCTTATATACCACTATGAGCACTCATGGTATTGTGAAATCACTTGGCAGCCAAACAGAATTTTGTTTATCAAACGTCAGCTGCCGTTGACATTAATACCATGCTAATGAAGCCCATGACACCTTCTTTCACCTGTCTATTCCATTCTCTAGAAAAAAATAAAGCAGCCATCTGGTTCCACAAATACAGTTGCTCATATTAGATGCGTGTTTGTAAAGATTAAAACCATCGTGGTGTCACTGACAAAAGCCTTCCTGGAATCGTGATGTACCGTTGCTATCATTTTCTCTTCTGCAGCACCAGTCCTGTGGTACTTTTCAGTAATCTCATTTCTTCCCAGTAGAATTAGCCTTAAATACGTGATAAAAAATAACACCAAGCTCATCAGGGACTAGCACTATTTATTTGCCTGTAATTTATTAATGCACCTGCACTGTTTGCTTAATGGTACACATCATCCAGACTAGAAGGTAGCTCCATTTCATATACATAATACCCACTGCCCACACTCAATTCATCCCATTCTAAATCGTCCTACTTCTTAAATGTATACATTTTAAGTGTACCATCCGTGCTGTAGGCAGAGTTTTAGCTTATTGTTCTTCTATACCTTTCAAGCTTCCTTTAATAACAGTAAAGATGATTATGTTATATATACATGGTGATGATAGCCATCGTTTAACTAAGTTCATCAAAGATGACTCATCCTAAGTTTAATGGAGCACATGTTTCGAAACTCACCGATAGGCGACAGCTCAGCCACACTGCCGATATAAGGGCCCTCCAAAAACTGCGGCTCGCTGTCATTGATGTCTTGGACCTTGATGACAAACTCTGACTCTGGCTCAAGTGGGTCGTTGGATAGCCGGTCCCGAGCCTGGGCCCGCAGGGTGTAAAAAGCCTTTTCCTCTCGGTCTAGTCGCTCTGTGGCATGTATGTCTCCTGTAAGCTCATCAATGATGAAGATGGAACCTGCTCCTTCTCCAGAGATGGTGTACTTGATGTTGCCCTCACCTTCATCAGAGTCTGTGTGGATCTGTAAGAAGTGGAGAGTCAAAAGAAAATGAGTGGCATCACTCCAAATACGCGGCCATTTTTTTGAGTCATAATACCAACAACCCAGTCTCCCATAAACTGATATTTATATAAGAAATGTCTAAAGATAATAAAAGATAATACACAAAAACTGTGAATAAGTAAAACAATGAAATCGTTTTAAGAAATTGCTCTATAATAGTGCACACAATAACTTATCAATGTTTATGTGTTTCAATGACAATACTTCATTATAATACTCAAACATATCTTTGACGACCTAATCTATTATCAATCAGTGACCAATTGCAATACTGTATGCCTTATTTCTATCCCCTTGTCTTTTTCTCCAATTCCAAATAAAATGTATGGCCTTCTCCAAGCTCCCTACACACCAGCCATAATCGTCGGGCTGTAAGAAGACACCACCTTTCTCGGGATGATTTTTCTGCACAATGTGCCCTTCACGGATGTGATGCCAAAATTAGGGGATCAAAGTCATTTCAAAGATTGTAAAAGGAAGAGACAGTGAGGTGCTGGGGGTGTAAAGTGAACTTAAAATAGCCCTCGTAAATCAGGGCTATACTTCCCCTTAATGTGATTAGAAGACATTCCAAAGGTAACGATAGGAGCAGCACTGGTTCCCCATCCCAGCATCCCCTTTGGCTCTTTACTGAGCACTGCAGACATGCTCTTCCCCATACCCACATTCACCTGCTATCTGAAATTATTATTCAGAGCTGCCTATGCAATGTAACCATAGTTCAATCTACTGAACAGACCAGGGGTGAGGGGAAATCGCCTGGCCTCCCTGGTTAATATTTTATAAAGGCTTAATTAAATACAGGCTTCTATCACCCTTGCAGGGATTTTCATTAAGTATTTGTCGTAAAACTGCAGAATAATGCAAGCCTGCGCCTTGATATTGCTTCCCTCATCCATTTTCCCCTCTATTCTTTGTCAGCCTGTTTCTGCCTTTTCCTGCCACTGTGAATCATCCTGGAGACAAACACATGAACCGTCGCGGAAAATATACTGCTGGGTACTTTTGAGTATCAATATTTTAGTTACAATAAAAAAAATAGAATTAAAAAAATGTTCCGTTGTTCCGGGGCGTTGAGAATTATCCAATAAGTGTGAACTTACTCTTCACCAGTGGAAATGTTTTAAACTGACATTACCTCTGACTCACAATATTTCTATATTTCAAAATTTCAAAATTGGATTCCGCAGACAAGTGTAAGTTTTGTGACCTATCAACATTCGTTAATTGAACTGCACTAACTGCATGTGCAGGCCTCTACCTACTTGCTGCTAACGCCTACCACATTTGTGCGGTCAAACTCGAAAACACATACAGATGAATAGTTTGTCAGCCTGCTAGAATAGTGCTGTGTCTCCCCCCCTCAGGCTGGCTAAACCCATCCTTCTGTCAGTCTGTCCTCACTGCTATAATCTGAGTTGGCAGTCTGAAAGACACACATACTATGCTCAGCGAAGCTGCTCTCTGAGAACTAAAGGTCAGAGCCAGGACGTCCCTCGCTCTGTGAAAAATAACTTTGACTGAAACATTTTTTACGGACATTTGCATTCCGCAACGCATACATTTGCGTGCGATAAAGCATAATCCCCTCTCTGTTTCCTATCTGACAGATTTATTTTTATCGGGCCGATGTGCCAACAATAAAGACACGCGTGTGAAATCAACGTGTGCTACGCAGAAGTGAAACCAGCACTTTGTAACTCTTCCTCTGCAGTAAAGTTTGCATTTTTATGCTAGTCGGAATCAGCTCCAATGATACACGGTTTGATTTCAGAGAAGTGGTGAGTGACGAAAAAAAGCCTGGATGCTTGGTTGCCTTTATTTTCCCTCTCCTATTATTAATTTTCCTAATTAATAAGAAAGTATAAACTCTTATATAATATAATAATAACCTATAATAACCTTTCAGGGTTGTTATTAGGATGTTTAAGACCACTTCTTTCATTGCTCGCTCCTTAATTTCTTCAAACCGTTGAAGATGGATGTAAACTAAGCATTAGGTATGCAAGAGGTTTATGAGAGGTTTTGAAACTTCTCCAGAAGAAAAATCCAAGTTGCACCCAAACCAAAAGCAGTAATAAAGAAAACAGTGTTGCACGCCACTACTATAAAAATTACAAATTTTGCCCATTTTAAAGATGTGGTTTGCAATTAATCAATATCCCTATAAAGTTAAATCAAATAGAAATAGTAACTTCTAACCGTAACTTTTGAAAGCCATAATATAATAGAATTGAATAGTATAGAATACAATGCAAGAGAATAGAAGACATTTGTTGAATAGGACTTTACATTTGCAGAGAAGATGCGCTTAATCCTAAGAGTTTATAGACGGGTTTGAAATTGTGAACAAATTGGCTGTCTTATATTTAAGTCTGTGTAATCAGGGCGGGCCTGCCACATTTCATTTTGGCTTGTCAAGCTCTCTGATCTCAACAGCTTTAAAGCATTAACAAGGTGACTGTATCTGATACCGCCTCGGAGGAGACAGCTATAAAGAAGGAAGAGTGCAGACCCATAGAGACAGAGGCCAAGATAAGAGGGGAAAGTAAATGGCAACAATACCAGAGATGGGCGAGAAAGATGAACAAAAAAGTCAGAGGAAGAGATTTAAATGGAAGGATGTCAGATCAACCGAATCTATACCAGAACATAAAGGATTTGAGAGACAAGAAAAGAAAAGATTATGAAGGCATGGTAACAGCATAATTGAACTGATTTATATTGAAAAAGTCTACAAACATAGGAAGAGGCTTTCCTGTTTTCCAAAGGAGAAAAGCAGACCTTGAAAATAAATAGAACATCAAACAGTTTGGTCCCATGGTTTTTCTCAATTCTAATCTAAAGCTGCTCTGCTCCTCTTTGATGACAGCCTCATGATTTTGTTACAATTGAACATAAATTTGACTAATTATAGCTTGGATCACTCTGCACGAAGAGCACTGTCTTAACAGGCACAGTGTGAGGATTTTTTATTGCTGTCTTGCTCTCGGTCATACAAATGGCATCACGACTGTGCCATCCACGACAAGTTTAATATCTTTTCCAACTTTAGTTTAAAGTAAAGAAATTGTCTAACACTTCAGAAAATCAATGACTTTTTCACATTTAGCATGCAATTCTGTTGTCATACCAACCTTGTATATGAACATGACGTGCATAATTTAGCAGTTTTTAACGAAATGTTTGAATTTTGTGAACACGTAGTCTTTCACATATGATGCCAAAACCAAAGAGGCTGAGTATGATGCACTATAAATCAAACTGATGCTCGGCAGAAAAATGCAGATTTTTCTTTTTTTATCCCTAAGATGGGAGTCCATCTTTTTCAATTGGCTGTGAGAGCTCAAGTGGGGCTCACCTATAACATGTATAGTAAAAGCATTCTTTCTCAGTTCATGCTGAGATGGAAAAAAGAAATCCATTCTAGAAACAGGCATAAAGATCAGAGAAATGGAAGGCTATGAAAACATGCTGAAACTGTACACAAAAGCTTGAACACTTCTTTTTTGTTGGGAACATAAAAGCATGTGGGTAAACTACACACACTGCCAAGCTAGCACACAGAGTCAAAAATTGAATTATTTCTGACAGCTTTTGTCAAAACTGAGGAGAAAGGAACATGACACATGGAAAGAGGGCTGTGTCGTTTTTCTTCTTCACCGCAACTATTAAGATTATTTTTGCTCGACAGCATTTCTGTCCCCAAGTCATAAATTCTTTGAAAGAAAATGTTGGGGTGATTAATTATAGGGTATTTTGTAGATCATTTAAGTAATTGTGGACTTAATTCCAATATGAATGCACAGACAGATCTGCCAAGTCAGATCTATTAATTAATTTGCTATGTTTAGAATGTAATGTACTTTGGATGAACGTCTCCCCAACCCCAATATTCACACTACAATGAACTGTTTGATGTGTATTTTCACACTGTAAAATATAATGCTCAGACAGTCATAAAGTGTGTCTGAAGTGATATACTGTCATAATGATGATTAATTACAAATTCACATCAAGTCTGATGGATTAAGTGCTGTCATGAGTGTGTGGAGGTTAGATCTGATGACAGTGTTGGAGTAAAGGAAGCCACACCTTAAACATGGTTATGCAAAATAAGCTTGCTGCAGTTACTCAGCTATGAGGGACACAACTCAGGGTTCATTTTCTGCTGATCAAAATAAAGTGTTGATACCAAATGTCCAGCAGAGTTTATCTGTATATGTCTGCTTATGTGGGGATCCCACTTACAGATTGTCATCTCAAAATGTATTCATTATTAATAGAAGTGATTGCAGTGGCCGCCGCCCTGTCACACAAAGTCTGATAGTTTCATTAATAAAATCAGCTCTTTTCTTTTGCTCTAACACTCCCCTCAAGCTCTTTTTAGCTATTTTGCATCAATTCACTGCCTTCCTTGGCACCCAACTTATAATGAATCACATGACAGTGCATAAAGCTTAATCTTTTCCACTCTTCATTTGCAGTCTTTCCTCCTTCTACATTCCTTTTCCAATGTATCACTCAAGCTCATTCTGTCAGATCTGCCTGTCGGCCTTGTTGTTGGTGTTGCCAGCAGGAATGCATCAAAGTCACAGCTGCAGACAAGTAATGGTCAAAGGATAATTGTGTTATGCCTTGGCCTCCATGCAGCAGAGAACATCTCCATTCATTTGTGAGAAAAGAGAGATCAATATATGCAGATGAAAAATTAGCTGGTCAATTGCCATGTCTAAATGATTAGAAACAAGGGGATCACATGATTGATGTGTGAGTGACTCATCACTGAGTCTCATTCTGTCTGCACTAATGTTTCGTCTTCTCAGATCACGTCCTATGTAAACTGACTGAATCGCACACGCTGTCCACTCTCATCAGCTCACTGAGGTTCATTTGAAAAGCCCAGATGGATAGGATGTGAATGAAGAGAATTAAAAAAGAATGGGGGGAAAACATTTAGATATAGCATATAAAACTGATTTAATTTGTCTGAGTACCCTCATTAGATACTATTACATTAAAGAAATAACATTCCGTGATCACATGAATTCATTATGTTTCAAGTAATTGGTGAGTGCAGAGTTATGTCAAGTAGCAGACACAGACCAACATGGCCAGTGGTCCTGTTCTATGTGCCCTCTTGGGAGGGCTTATTGGCAGTAGCAAATCTGAGGCAATGGTGTTATGAATTGTATGAGAAAATGTTCAAGCGATTCTTTTAACTCTGACTATGTCGGCGGGAGATCATTGTACAAACAAAAAAAGATTAATTAAGTTGAAGTAATTTGTTAACTAATTAACAAATCAACGCATATGTGTGCACACAGTCATTATTTGACAGATGGTTTAAAGACATTAAATAAAAATGGCAGAATGGCAAATAGGCTAAAAGTTAATGAACGAAAGGAATGGATTTCACATTTTTCATTAACCTAAAAAACAAAAAATAAATGATTGAATTTTAATTATTTTTTATTTAAGTGACATGAAGTGAAAGTGAAGGATTTTTAGGTAATGAAGTAACACAAACCTTCCACTTTGACGTGGAGAGGTATAACCTGGTTGGTCAGTTGGTCACATGTCCTGATGAAAAGCTATGAAGTGGTGCTCTCTGACTCTTGCATCTATTCATTTGTCTTGAGGTTAAACTAAATTCAAACTGGTTGCTCAATAGTTTGATACTTTGAAATATACAGAGTCTATTTTAAAAGAGAGTCAAATGAAATCACTTGGTAGCAGCTACACAATGAAGTACTGGGATGGTTCACACTTGGAAAGCGTTCCTTGAGAAGTAAAAGCATGATGCAAACAACAGTGGGATACATATTTCAAGCCAGTGGATCAGAAAACAATAAGGCCCCTACTGTTAAAAGAAAGAACAAAAATGATTGTATGACAGAAAATGTCTGACTGCAGTGCTTAAGGATTGGGGGGGTTACTATATTTCGATGTGAGAGCTATTCTTTAAATTTGCTACTATGCCAACTAAACCCCCAAGTATTATTAATGAAAATGTGTAACGAAAACATAACTGAGGTTTCAATTGTATTTCCTTTCGTCTTTAAAAAAGCATTACTAGGTTGCTTAATGAAGACTGATAGATCAGCTTTGAGTGACCATATAAACATGAATAAATTGCTCCAAATAGTCCTTACAGCTTGTAATCACTTTGCGGGAGAGCTTACATGAGTACACGGAACAAAGTGATGTGTAGCTGCCACACACTGCTGTGATTGAAAAATCCTTGACTGATTTGTAAAGATAAAAACCTACATGTCCTCGAAGAGCGCATGGCTTGAACTGACAAGGTTTAATTCTTAATACTGTCTTTAGAGGTAGCCTTGGGTTTAATGAAGGTAAACTACATAAATTAGTCTTTGGTGAGGTCTCCAACCCTTTTGAACACTTTTGGTGCCAACACCTACTTGAAATGATTTTTGCTGGTTGTTAGCTTCTAAGACATTTATTTTTATAACAATTCCATGTTCTTACCTTCCCAACATATAGTGGGTCTGTGCCTGTATACTCCTCCACCACAAAGAATTGGTTCCACACCCATCCTCTCTTAACTCGTTCAAGTGACGAGGGTTCTTCTTCCTGTTTGCTTCTTCCTGAGACTGTAGCACTAGTCCTTGAAGCCTCAGACCAGTTAAAACAGCAGCTGCTAAGAAGAACCAGTGCTGCCAATAGTGTCCAAGCCCCTGCTGTCCAAAAAAGAGCCATGCTGATAAAAAAGAACAGAAATGGAAAAAAAAAAGCGTGTGTCTACATGTAAAAGAAAAGACACATGCAGACACAGGGTGTTTTTTTTCAGTTATAGTTGTATAACAGACACAACTCCAACTGGGCAAACTTGAAATGTCACTGTCAGAGAACTTTTAAGTTAATCCATCGGATCACAAATCTGCTATTTGCTAAATACAGGGCAAGTCATGAAGTATAATGGACTGGAACCACCTGGTGAGTACCTGTTTGTATTGTAACATTGTCAGTTATTCTGATTCTTTACCCTAAAGAGTTTCTTGAAAATATAACTTGCAGTAGCAAAAAAAAAACTGATTAGGAAATGTCTTTTAAGATTTACGAAGGTGGGAAAAAGAAGTTTTGACTGAGCCGGCTCACTGGTTGTTGCAGAAATTATGGGACAGAAAGAACAGAGTGGCATTTGGGAGCATGCCTTTGAAAACACGGTCCTGTTTTCCATCAATTCATGATTCTGTTGTATGTGCAGTCTCCTGTGCTTTTCACAACACTTTTAGTCATGTCACTGGGAATCATTGCAGTGATTTGGACTGTGCACTCTCAAAATGACTAAATTACACTTAGGAAAAAAAAAACTTTTTACACGCTGGTCTCATGAAAAGTTCCAACTCTTTACTTCCAGGAGCATAAACAATGATCTTTGAAAAGGCCAGCTGATTTTACTGTTGGTGACTGTTGGTGTTATGTTTTCTTTTTGATGACTTGATCCTTCAGTATAATCCATTGGTTCAGAGAGCTCATTCTTCAAAGTTCCATCACTGATTAGAAGGCAGGGGAAGAACCTGTAAGACACAAGAGGAAAAAGACGTTATCAAAGACATACTTTGGGCTGGATCAGAAGTTATATTCAAAATGATACCTTTTAAGACATTCTTTACACACCCGAGTCAGTCCAGAAACTTTGTTCAGTCATTTTTTTGTTCCCATACTCTAATTTCATATGATCCTTTCTAATATATTGTTATTGATACAATTATCCATAGAAATGAGAAAATAAGACCTTCGGCTGGCCTGTGTGTCTTTTACCCATGTGATTTTCCGCCATGATAAGGCATTAGTATTCTGATTAGGATTATCTGCAGGAAACTATTTTTCACCAGTGACTGTTCAGCATTCATTTTAAAAATGTGCACCGGGTTGGAGAGTGATTGCGATAGAGTGAAAGGAGAACGGGGAACCAGGTGTGAGAAAAGTAGGGAGGATGGAGAACAAGAAGGAAAGCAAGCAAAGCAAAAGGGAGGTCACTGCTCATCACACACCTAACCCAAAGCATCTGTCTGCCTTTCATCCGACTGATGAAGCAGCCTCCGACTCAGCCACTTGATTAATTGCATGAGGGCACACTAATTGGATAAAAGTATTAATCGATTTATTCTATCCAATGAGACAACACCCCCTTAATACTTCAGACAAACATTTGGGAGTAAATGTAGCCAGCACACTTGTCCTTGGCTGTTGTTAAGCATGCACGGGGGTTAGACAGCAGGAAAAAGCTTACATCCCAGGGACATATAGGGAGTATAGGGCAGGATCTCGATTAAAAAGACCACGTCAAAGTGAAAAAGAAAGACCTGAAAAATTAAATGGTCTCAAGACTAAAAGGCGGTTGAAATAGACTGTGTTGTGTGTGTCTGTGATTAATGGTTTCTTGGAAAAGTTCGGAGCAAAAGGCAAAAGGGGAAAATCAGAAGAAACAATAACATTTAGTATATCTCAGGCCCTACAACCTAAAGCAGTGTAGAGAGAGACATTTTGTCTTGTTAGCCAACCTTCTCGCTTGACAGATACAAGTCAGAGAATTGAATTAGAGCGCGCCGTGAATGGTGATTTTTGATTGGTCATGTGCGGTCTCCCAAAATATATGTCCGACGTAAACAGGTATTTGTTTATGTATTCCTGTTTTTCCACCATGACTTAAACGTGCGCATCCCGCCTCCTACTGCACGAGAGAACGTGCAGTCTGTCATATTCATGCACTATGTAAGACTATCAGTATGTAATAATCACAGTACACTCTAGGGGCCGGTACAAAAACCCAAAGGGGCCGGACCTGGCCCGGGGGCCGCCAATTGAATAGCCCGGACCTAAAGAGTAGGAGATTGCAAAAAAACCAAGTGACGAAAAGCCCCCCATGCCAGAGGGTGATTTAGCCTATTGTATTTCTGCAGGCTTGGAAAGGCTGTCTTCCAATCTTATTCTTCCCCTAACTGATATCAAGCTTGGAGCTTCCGGAAATAATTCGCTATCAGACTGTTGGTCAAGCCAATGTGTGTAGTATTAGAAGCTGGCTGCTCCAGGGGTCCCCAATCTCCCGAGCAAACCTTTCAGGGGAAACATTAACTCTGCAGCACGCTGGTGTCCTCAACAGATGGACTATGTACAGGTTTTTATATACAGTACAATAAACTTGCCCTTTTATTACACATACGCTTCACTCACATATGATTTGGGGATTCATGTGCTACTTTGAGTAGAAACAAGCATTGAAACAAAAAATAATGGCCAGGTAAGAAATAATTATAGTGAATTTAGGTCTTACTTTACATGATTTCCAAGAGGCACTGTGCAGGGCACCCCCTGCCTAACGCCCAATGACATCCAGGTTTATCAGAGAGAAATATTATAGTGTTTTTTTCATATGCTGTTTCCCCATCATGACAGGAAAACAAAAAATGTTAGCACACCCTTTTTAATGTCCCTAGGGAAGTCCATATGAGAACATGTCGTTTTTTTGTTTAGATTATAACTTGGAGATTATAATAGAGTACAAGAGGGTGGAAAGCTTAACCTTCTTAGAGGATTTCCTGATAATATGACGAAAGACCAGCATAATCCCAAAGGTTTTCCATCATTTGCGTATATACTTATACCCCTTGAGGGAAAAAATGCTCCTATAGACACAGGCCAAATATAAGATAGTTTTTGATTTGGTTCTGATTCATAACACAACACATGCGTTTAGAAATGTAATATTTTAAAAAAGACTTTACACCACTCAGTCCATAAGTATCAAAAGCATTCCCTTTTCAAAATATCAGAACAACTAGATGAATATTTATCTGATTTACATTTGGAAAAGATTACATTTAATCTCCGTGAAGAAAAAAAAGCTTTTCAATAAATCATGGAGAATATTTGTTGCCACTCCATGGTAGGATTTGCAGAGAAATCCAAAGTTTTTAGTGGTCTGTAATTTATTCAAGGTTTGGGTGAAATGTAGTATGAAAGCAGCAAAACAACATCTATCCTTTCATTTTCTATACCTGCGTATTTAAAAAAAAAAAAATATATATATACATATATATACATATACATATATCTTTTGACTGTTTAGGGAAATATGAATACGATCAGGTAATCAATGATAAACCTGACCAAAGACCTCTGAGGATGAAATCTTTCTTTCACCCAGTACACTAAATTCAAGATAGACAACGCAGATAGACTTGTGTTTTGGCACTCTGGACTGGTAAAAAAGACCAATCCCAATGCTCCACTGGGTGTCATTGCACAGTGCATGCCACTGCCTTCACCCTCTGACCGGGAAAATAAACTGGCCTTATTTCTAGCATTCTCTCCAGGTAGGGTTTCTTTCCTCAGCTGTAACTGAGTGCTAATACACAATGTCCTAAAGTGTTGCAGAAAAATAAGCAGCTCTGAACAATACGTTTTTGTTCTTTTCAAATCAATTTTAATAAAAAAACCTAACAGTGTAACATTTTGCTAACTGTGCTGGTTAGATTGTTTTGTCAGGACATGATAGAGAAGGTTTTGCAAGGAGTTCTGTGGCATCTTTACTCTGATAATAACTGGACACCTTGGATCCCAATTTCATTTTCCCTCAACTGCCTGTGGCAATGAATTTACTAGAACGTCCTCCCTTGAGGATTTTTAACACTGTTCTATTTCATACCGAAACCAGAAAAAAAAGGAAAACACATGTAATAATTTCCTGTTGGATTTTTTGCTGATTCACACGCAACACTTTTCACTGTTGGTATTGTCATATCCTCTTTTTCATCTGACCTCTTGTACCTCATCTCCTGCCCTTGTCTTCACATACATCAGAGTGGAAACATCTGAAGGACTGTCCCTCTGACTAAAAGTTTCAAATGTGTCATCCCACTGTACATAAAAATGAAGGTTTAAAATTTATACATACATAAAAAAAGAAAAAAGAAAACGCATCTTGCTAAACTGATTGAACTGATGTAAAATACTTATTTTTAAGTCTCAAAATAGATATGCTAAAGCTATGGATTGACAACTTCAAAGAAAAAAAAAGAAAACTGTTTATTTTTTCATCCCTCAAAGGCATACAACAGGAGGGGCATATAACTCATTCCTATTTGCCTATCTAAATTTGAGCTGTTTTCTCTAACAGCATAGCAGTTTGAATTTGTTCAATTGGACTCTATTTTTCTCAAAATGTTGTTCTATGTTGTTGTTGTAATGTTGTATACGGATGTCTCAGAACTTCTTTTGGAAGTGGAGCGCTTGCACCAACTGCTTGGCATTTTTTCTTTACACAGGGAATTGCATTAAGTGTGTACATGTTCACTCATCAATAGGTCTAAAAGTGAGTAACTCTAATGAGTTACAGAGAGAAACACAAGAGGAAAAATTGTTTCTTCTGGCTTCAGTGAAACTTGGCCAGAGAAGAAGAGGCCTTCAAATTCGGAGGCAAATTAGTCTCATGTCAATTACGGCTCTTCTCATTACTAACACTTAGAAGTAAAAAAAGGAGAAGAAAGAAAGAAAATCTATTTTAAAAAATCATGCACTGCAAATCAAAAGTTTAAATATAGAAGCATTTACATATATAATATTCATACTTATATATATATATATATATATATATATTATATATATTAGCGTATCTTCAATCTCTACTTGCTTCTTCTTCTACTCATCTTTCTGTGCAGCCATTCATGACCTATTAGAGCAGTGGATGGATTCTGG